GGCAGAAAGTAAAATGAAAGAATACGAAAAAAGACTTATAAAGTCCACAAAAACAGAAGTATTATTTGCTCAAGATTCATGATTGTGACTGGCTTACTCAAAGGCCATCAGGCTGCAAACCATTTTTGTTTTTGTTTTAAAAGCCAGATCTCTTCTTTTATGTTGATCCAAAGAGACTGTCATTATCTGAAGTGAGTGTGTGTGGACGCAGGATCGTCCTGTCTGACCCCTGGGTGCCAGTGGAGATGTAGACAGTGATGTGGTGTGGCACCATGGGACCGTCCCAAACTGGCACTGCACTGAAATGTATACTCGTCTGTGTGTGATGGTTTATGACACTCGTATGTGTGTGTTCCCGTGTGTGTGCACCTAGTGCGCGGGCTTGTGTTCCTGTCTCGGCCCCGGTCGCTGCAGGATACATGGACAGTGATGTGGCTCAGCACCGCAGGGGCCTCCTGATGACTGAGACGAGTGTGTGTGTGTGTGTGCGGTACAGTGATGGGTTCTGGCACCCGCGGGCTCTGGTCGACTGGTCCTGGACTGGTGGCACGGACAGCGATTAGGACTCTGATATCAACCTGTCACTCTAAACAACTCGAACTGTCACTAAGAGGAAAGGAGAGAGAGAGACAGGGAGGAATCAGCAGAGATAATGTAGACACTGAGTTACTGTGACAGCTGGGAGGACTGAATAAAAGAACAAGAATGAGAGGAAGATGAAGAAATTGTTAGAATTAGAATAGAGTTTGAATTAGAATCAGAAAAGGAATCCAAATTCTAATTAGAATACATGGAATGCAGGACTTAATTTGGATGCTCAATCATCTTAAGCCTTCTTTTAATTTAAAAAAAAAAAATATTTCATTTATTTATTGTATTTAATTTAATATATTATTTTATAGTATTTTTTATTTTATTTCATCATTATTATTCTCATTTTATTTTTTATTATTTATATTAATTTATTTAATTTATTTTTTATTAGTAGAAAAACATTTATTACATTATTAGAAACCATAGAATTAGAATAGAACTGGAATACTAGAATAGAACGCCTTACTAAAAAACCTACTTCCAGAATACGTATTTCATCAAAAATAACTAACAGCAAATGCGTTAAAGGGATACTTCACCTCTGGAAAGATGAATGTGTATTTAAAATGGATCATTTATGTAGAAGAAATGTGAAATTATTTTTGAATTGGAGCTTTCTAGACTGAGAAAAGCCAGAAAATGTATTTTTGGCTCATGTGGATGAAAGACAACAAGAGATATTGCTTTCAAGAGATATTAAAACGATATAAATACTGTTCGTTTTTCTCACACAAACCGCTCGTTTCGTGTCTTAGGCCATCAATGTGTACTTACATTTACGAGTCATTAAATCATGTTTAATTTGGACTTCTCAGTGCATGTTCTTTGAGGTGGTGACCATAGACCTCCATTATATGACTGACAGACAAGAACGGTTTGACCTAAAAATATAAAAATTGAAAAATACTGCGGAAACAAAGACATCTACATCTTGGATGCCCTTGAGGTAATCTGACGGAGAACAGTAAACTGAGAGACAGAAGGGCTATAACCTGTGAACTCTCTCGAGGCGTCAGTCGTTCAGATTAATAGCTGGTACATGATTGGGTTCTGGATCTGATAATATAGACAATGACTCTGATGTAAATATAAATGTAGTTTATATCAGTCTTAAACATACAGCATCTCTGTCTAGTGTTGGTGGCCATCTAGTGTTAAGATGGAAATCTCTCTCTCTCTCTCTCTCTCTCCAGTGCTATTGTCTCTCTCTGTCTCTCTCTCGGAGAGTCTGATGGAGTTTGGCAGCTCTTGCTTGCAGCCACAGGCCAGCCTAAAGCCATTGCAGATGATAGTTTTAATTGCTTTCAATCTTTCAGGCAAGTCCCTGCCTACTGGCACCAAGTACTGTGTGTGTGTGTGTGTGTGTGTGTGTGCGCGCATGTTCATTGTGACTTTAGCTGAGGAACTCTTAGTGATGCTGGCTTCTGGTAAAATGACTACAGAAGTTGAAATGAAAGATTTTTTAAGTCATAGTGCCACACCTCTCGATAATGTTGAATTACCATATTAGTAATAGCATCACACGTGCTGTTGGCAGACGCGGCGCCAAGAATAGAGCAGAAATAATTCACGAATCATATCATATATTTCTCAGAAGTAACAATGATTTTGAATATGTGTTTTCTCTAGCAGTGGTTTTGTATGTTGGTTTTTAAACCAGTTCAAAACGCTTAAATCATATATAAAATAATTTAATATTATTGTTTAATATAATATGGCTATCTTTTAGGCAGCCGGTGAACACAACACATATATTCAATGCATTCAAGCAAATATATTCAAGGCAGATTTTAAAATAAAAGATCTTTTGTTGTGAAATATTATTCTTTTTAAATCGGTGTCAGTAAATAGCTTTAGATAACTTTCCTCATGTGTTTACAAATTAAATCGGTTCATGATTATTATATTTTACCAGATTTATTGACAGGATTGATGTATAAATTAGTGGTAATTTGTGCCATTTTAATCAATGAATGAATTATTCATTACAGATACTCTCATTATGACCATTAATATGATGGCCTGTTGTTTTGATGATCAGGCTGACAGATTAACCTCTGACCTCTCCGAGCAGAAAGTGTCTTTGTGCTTCTTTCAACGTGTTCATAGTTCTGCATTTTCTTTTGCACTTAATCATGTTTGTGTGTCTGTCGTCTTTATATTTGCATGTGCATGTGCGTGTGTGCCCGTCTCGTAGCCATGAGGCGTATTAAGCCAAAACATTCCCACTGTGAATAATCTCTACATGTGATTTTTAATCATCTCATTCTCGCTCTGCCCGTCTCTCTCTCTCTCTCTCTCTCTCTATCTCTCTGAATGGCCCCCAGTCTCACCCTCTCTCTCTCTCTCTCTCTCTCTCTCTCTCTGAATGGCCCCCAGTCTCACCCTCTCTCTCTCGTTCACTGGCAGCTTGCATATGTTCATAAGGGTGAGTGACGACACCTCTGAGTTCCTCCGGGGCGACGGCAGGGGAATCCAGCGCTGGAAGGCGCGCGGCTGTTGCCCTCTGTCTTCTGTGCTGGGCGGATATGCTCTGCTCATCACTGTTTGAGTTTTTAGTTTTATTATATATTTATTTTATTCTATTATATTTGGTTTTACTTTATATTTAGTATATTTCTTTTATTTATTATTTTATTTCATCACAAATGTTCTATTTTTATTTTATTGATTTATTATATTTTTATTTAATTATATATAATTGGGTTTTTTTTTGCTTTTTTATTTGAATATATTTTATTTATTGATTATTTTATTTTATTATTTAAACTTTTTTGTTGTTTTGTTTTTTGTATATTCTATTTGATTGTTGTTTTGTTTTATTTTCAGCATATTTCATTATTTATATGTATATATATATATACACACACATATTTATCAAATTTTATTTTGTTGTTTTGTTTTTGTATATTTTATTTTTAGTAAATTAACATTTTTAGATTTTTTTATTTAATTTTTACTTTTTTTTATTTAATTGAATTTTATTGTTAGCCGACATCTTATAAAATTAACACATTTTTAAATATTATAATATTGTCAGGATAGTTTTCTGTCAACATCAGTAAAAAAAGGTAAAATATATATATATTTTATTTTATTGATTAATTATATTTTATTTAATTATATATATATATATATATATATATATATATATATATATATATATATATATATATATATATATATATATATATACATTTTATTTATTGATTATTTTATTATTTTATTTTTTGTTGTTTTTAGTATATTCTATTTGATTGTTGTTTTGTTTTATTTTCAGCATATTTCATTATATTTATATATATATACATATATATATATATACATATTTATTACATTTTATTTTGTTGTTTTGTTTTTGTATATTTTGTAGTAAATTAACATTTTTAGATTTTTTTCATTTTATTTTTTATTTATTTTTTATTTAATTGTATTTTATTGTTTGCTGACATCTTATAAAATTAACACATTTTTAAATATAATATTGTCAGGACAGTTTTCTGTCAGCATCAGTAAAAAAATAAAATATATATATATATTTAGTGTCAATTAAACTGTTTCAGTTTAATACTTTGACAGTAATTACAAAAATAAATTTCATAGTTTAAAAATAGCTTCCTGTAAATATCTTGTAGTTATTAAATGTAACTAAACTACTTTGCTACTTTTGCTACTTTTCCAATAGTTTTGAGGGATGCTGGTCATCATAATGGTGTCCAGTGAACACGGGTCATATGTGTGTGTTCACGTGCCTCTGAAAGGTCACATATGACATTAAATGTGTGAGGAGAAATAGGAAGAGAGTCCCAGTGTTCCTGTAAGCGAGGGGTGTGACGTGCGGCACTCAGGCAGAGAGTGTACAGTTTTAAATGCTGCATTTGCGTTGCTAAGTGTGTGTGTTCTCTCTCTCTCTCTCTCTCTGTGTGTGTGTGTTAGTGCTGCTCCTCTTGTCCTGATCCAGTTTGACTCTAATGGGGCCCAGTGGTGAATTTTTCATTTTGCCCAGAGGGAAGCAACATCGTTCTGCAGAGAGAGAGACAGACAGAGAGACAGAGAGAAACGTCTTTTTTTAGACACTTGGTTCCTCCGTTGCAATTAATGCATGTCTATTCAGTGTAGAACCACATCAAACACTGATTCCTGTGACGTTCCTCTGACACTAACACTGTTCTCTGACATGGATCATGCAGACGACACACGTTTGAATCCGGCTTTGTGTCATTTCCTCATCTTGTTCGACACTCTTTGGCTCATGTATCGTCCACATCTGTTAAGTAAAAATTAAGTCCAAAAAAATTGTGTAAAAACAGAAGTCTGTCATTATTAACTGTTAATGCATGTGCACATTTGAACCTGTGCCTTCTTGATGTCAAACTGATGGCTCTTGTTTGTTTTGTGATTTTCAGGAGGCACGCACAGATGATATTTCAGAGTCAACTGAACTGCTGTTATGAAGCTGTATTGGCCTTTCTTATCCTCCCTGATCACCGTATGTGAAAGAGCAGCTTGGACGGTCCAACATCTTTTATGTTCCTCGGCAGAAAGACGGTCAGAGTGGGTTGGAACGACGTGAGAGTGAGTAAATGATTTATCAGCAAATTATTCCTTTATGCAATCAATCTAATGGATCAGAAGGATCATGTGACACTGAAGACTGGAGTAATGATGCTGACAATTCAGCTTTGATCACAGGAATAAATTACATTCTAAAATTGCAGTTGCAATAATATTTCACAATATTATTGTTTTTACAGTATAAAACGCTGCATTGGCGAGCAGAAGCGGTTCAATAACATTAAAAAATATTTTCCTGACCCCAAACTTTTGAATGATGTGTTCATAAAGATAGTTGTAAACTGTCATGCATTTATTTCCTAAAACATATTATAACATGAGCTAATTTGACAGTATTTATTAATCTTGTGTAGTGACATTTATTCTTTTATAATTAGTTAATGCACTGTGAGCTAAAATGAACAAATGTGTTGATTGACTACAGTAACACAAATTGATAAATGATGTTTCTCATCGTTAGTTTATCAGATAATCCATGAACTAATGACATATTTGTCAAACAGACCGGCTCTTGTGTGGTGGGGTTTTTCAGGACACACACACACACACACACACACACACACTCTCTCTCTTACATACACAAACACACTCTCTCTCTCTCTCTCTCTCTCTCACACACACACACACACACACACACACACACACAGAGAGAGAGACTGTCGTTGTAGTAGTAATTTCTGCAGGAGAGCCCAGAGAGATCTCCATCTGTTCAGTGAACACGAGCCGCGCTCCACCGTGGCTTTTAGCCCTGTCTTACTTATGCAAATATTTTTGCCTTGAAATCTATTTGGAGTTGCTTGAAGGGTCCAGAATGTTGTCCTGCTGTCTCACACACACACACACACACTCTCTCCTGCTGTCTGGCCCAGCGGCCTGCCCTGCGCCGCCTCTCGTCCGTCATGTGGAAAACTTTTAACCAGCACATACACGCAGACACATGCCCTGAACAACCCCCCACTGTCAGTCTGTCTGACCACCTCATCCTCTACACACACGCTTATCACACACATATCTATACAAATTAGTGAATTTTGCCATTATTTTATGTGCTACAAAAAAACCTGAAAAACAGAGTATTGATTGGGATTCCCAAACTCGTTTGTCAGCCAAAGATGTGTGTTTGAGTTAACATTTCAATTCAATGTTCAGGTTCTCTGATGTTGGTTAATGGTCGCAGGACATCCAGATAAACACATTATTAGTTAATTGTTTCGAGACTATTATCTTCTAAGCTGAGGTTCAACACTGACAGTTATTGAACTGAATGATGTCACTATGGCCTTCTGAAGCCGTTTCAAAACTGATTCATATTGCAAGTTTTTTGCCTGTTGACTGTAAAGCTGCATTGAAACAATCTGAATTGCATAAAGTGCTATATTAATAAATGATAATATTTTTATGATTGAGTGAATTAGCTTTTCATCCACATCCAAAGCCATGCTAAAGGAATAATTAGCCTAGACTTAGAATGAAGATAATTTCTCGACCTCATGTACTGTATGCATTCGTTTGAATTGTTTATTTTATTTATGTATTTTTGAAAGACTCGTATGATAATTTCAAGACTGAGTTGTTCTTTCTGAAACGCATTAATGTTACATAACAGATACAAAACATGGCATAGCTCCATATCTCTGCTTTAGCCCTCTGTCTTCAGTATTTCTTCTTTTTTTCTTCCACAGAAAGACAATCACAAAGGTGTAGATGACATGAGGACGCACTCTTTCATACATCTACAGTGTTGTGAAAACTCCCTCCTCACATCGCGAATACTGACCTATCACAGCCTGTCTGGAGGAGGTACAGCTCCAGAAACACCCTCGACCTCATCAGTGACGGCAGAAGAGGGACGTTTTACATCTCAGGCCAGGTACTATTCTTTTTATGTCAAAGAAAATTAACAGAAAACATTTTCCATTCCACTGCTCTACTTTTCCATTATTTTTCTATGTAAACACGCGCTTGACGGACGTGTTTGACCGTTGCACTTCCCCGTATCAAAGCGAAAACGTGTTCTGTGTGAACGAAGACTTTGGAAAGGGACTGTGCATTAATATGTAGTCTCCCTTCGCCTTCCCCCTCATTTATATATTCATATTTTTATTTTAAATGTATAATATTCATGCATTCTTCCACTAATATTCAACTTGTGCTGCTCTCTAGTGGTCACATGGAGGTAGTGCAGCAGTAACCCACAGAGATAAATATATCATTTATTACATCATTTTTAAATACAAACAAACGGTTCTATGATCTACGTTTAATTAAAAATCTTAGCTGATGCTTTAGTTACTGATGAGAGAGTCAGTTATTTGAGTAGGTAAGAATAATGCAAACTGTTACTGTGATATAATAAATACTGATGATGACATAAGTAGGCCTAAAGAAAAAAACTTTTGCTGATAATTTACTCACCCCCATGTCATCCAAGATATCCATGTCTTTCTTTCTTCAGTTGAAAAGAAATTAAGGTTTTTGATAAAAACATTCCAGGATTTTTCTCCATATAATGGACTTAAATGGGGTCCAAACGGCTCAAGGTCTAAATGAGAGTTTCAGTGCAAACTGTTCAAAGGGCTTTAAACGACACCAGACGATGAATAAGGGTCTTATCCAGGACCCTTCGAGTCATGACTCAAAAAAAGATTCATTCATTTTGATGAACGAGTTTGAACAGGAGAGTCACGAACGTGCATCACAGAACAGAGCAAGGCGAGCATTTGTGCTTATAAAACATACTTTTTTATTTATTTTTTTAAATGAGCGCTCGTTTCGCTTGATAAGACCCTTATTCATCGTCTGGTGTCGTTTAAAGCCCTTTGAAGCTGCACTGAAACTCTCATTTGGACCTTGAACCGTTTTGGACCCCATTGAAGTCCATTATATGGAGAAAATCCTGGAATGTTTAATTTCTTTTCGACTGAAGAAAGAAAGACGTGGACATCTTGGATGACATGGGGGTGAGTAAATTATCAGCAAAAGTTTTTTTTTAAAGTGAACTACTCCTTTAACATGTTCATTTAGTTATGACTTATCAATCTATTATTTAAATAACATTATCAGCCATCGAGTCACTCATCCTCAATCAATCCAAATGAAATAAACCAAAAAGTTCTTAAATCCACAAACTATGTTGTAATATCAGCATCTATAATCATTCATCTTGCACGACTAGCACGTTTCCCTTAATCTCGTATTGAATGGTGCTCCACTCGAACACGTTAGGCTTCGGCACGCGCTGCGCCTGGTTGAAGTACAGCGCTTTAATCTGGTTTCCGGTGAGGACGTAGTCCCACATGTTCAGGTCCGTGAGCTCGCCGGCGAAACTCTGCAGCGTCTCGAAGTCCCCCAGGTGTTTATCTGCGTCCTGGCCCAGTATAGCGGTGCCCTGCGCACGGATGCTGTGACCCGGTTTGTACAGCTGGAACGCACTGCGCCGTCCATCCACCCAGAAGGCCGTGAGCCCGGTGTGAGAGGACCAGGTGAGGCACAGGTGCATCCTGAAGCTGGAGAGAGGAGGCAGGTGGAAAAACGCCCCGTCGCCTCTGAGATAGAAGGACACACGGCCGTCTTTCTCCCTCCACACGTTGAGCTCGTCGTAGTCGGGCGTTCGGTAGGCGAAGAGAATGATCTGCCGCTCGCCCTGGAGCTCCGTCGCCACGCGCATGCAGAGAGTAAACGCTGACAGGCCAAGAGGCTTTTTAGGAGTGAGTTCAACAAAGCTGAAATCCGTCTCGTACGGGAACAGAAGCACTTTACCGCCGAGACCCACTGCGAGACACACAAACACACTATTGAAACAAACACACACACAAAACAAGCACATGTTTATTCTAACATACCTTCAGTGGCGGCGTGTGTCAGAGACAGCAGACAGGAATATAACACCACTGGCACCAACATCGTGCTGCAGGTCTGAGCAATCAAATATTCAAGCCTATTAGTGCTTTGTAAATTATCTATGGGTTAATTGTAAAGGGTCAAGAAATTACATATTTCATCCCGAATTTACAGTAAGGTTCCATTTGTTAACATGAACTAATGTGTTAACTACAATTAGCAATACAAATAAGCAATTTGTTACAGTATTAAACTTTGTTAACATTACAAATACAACGGTTCAGAGTGGATTGAACTAAATTTAACTTTTGATTTTAATAATCTATAAATTAGGGCTGTCAAACGATTAATCGCATCCAAAATAAAAGTTTGTGTTTGCATAATATATGTGGGTGCACTGTGTATAATTATTATATATATATAAATACACACACGTTGTATTTATATATTTAAGAAAAAAAATTTTATATATAAAATGTTTATATTTACATATCATATAAATTATATATAAATCTATATAGAGTATATACATCAAAATATTTCTTAAATATATACAAGCATGTGTGTGTATTTATATATATATAAAATACTTATACACAGTGCACCCACATATATTATGTAAACACAAACTTTTATTTTGGATGTGATTAATCATTTGACAGCCCTAATATATATAAATGTTGAAACTAACATTAATTAAAATTAATAAATGCTGCTCATTCTTAGTCCATGTTGGATGTAGTTAACTATTATGAAACCTTATATTGTAAAGTGTTACCCAAAATTAAATAAAAATACCATTTTTTTGCATTGCGACATTGTAGTGACAAACATTACTCCCAAAAAACTCTCCTTAAAATTTTTTATTATTTATCATATATAATTTATACTTGTTTAAATGAAAAAGTTTTTGAGGGATTATTTTTGCATCAAAGTAAATGTATAAATGTCCTGAAATAAATCAGTATACTTTTTTTATATAATTGTGGTAAAAAATTAAATTAGTTGCATTATTATTAATATTATCAACTGTATTTTAACATTTCAGTAATGCATTATAAAGGTATTCATCATGTACATTACAATGCATTATATCTTTTCATATATCATTGTTAAATGTTAAAATGCATTAGAATATTTGCAGATTTCTTGTAACATTTGAAATAGGTTGTTTATGTTTTTAACGCATTATACTTTCTAAAGGTTTGTTCAATGTACATATAAGTATTATAATGTATAATAACTGGTTACAATTATTCATGAGATCATACAGTGCATTATAAGGTGCAATACGAGGCATAATTAATGCATTAAACAACTTTTATAGTCTTTAAGTACAGTGTTACCAACATTTCTGATCACAAAGCATAAAAAGCATGAAGTTTGAATCGTCGTTCAGGTTTTTCAATGATATATAAATGAAATAATGCGTCCAGAAATAATACTTACTGTGTAGCAGAAGTGTGTTGAGTGAAGAATCACTGCTGAGGCGCTTCCCTCCTTGCACCGTGATGACATCACCTCACACACACACACACACACACACACACACACACACCAACAAAAGATGCTGTGTGAGGAGTCACACAATCATGAGACCCAAAACAGACACAAAGATGTTTTCAAATGTCTCTTCCTCTATCAATCACATAAACATGCACTCAGTTCCCAAACAGACAGACAGAAATGAATTTATAACATTATCTAAACAATACACAACCTTTTCCACAAAACAACAATACTCTCTTTAATGCGATTTGAGAAAGCAAAATGCATGATTTTTTTTTTACTTTAATCTTTTTCAATATCACAAAAGCTGTCGATGTCATGATTTCACGAAATTGTGATCAAATCTCAGAATATTTCTTTGAATTTATGTGATTTTTGTGGTGTAATAATGAGATGTTGTGACTTATATGAATGCAGACTTCCATTACTCAGGCCATGAGTTGGTGTTTCTCACGATGCACCACCTGCATGTGAACACCAGAGAGCAGCAGTGGGTCAGACGAATTTCCCTTAAGAATTATGTCAACAATCATATATCATATATACAGCAACATCAGTAGAAGTGAAGGTTTTCTGAGGTTTTAGAGTCAAGTAAAGGACATAAACTAGATAATCCAGTACAGGTTTTAATGAGAGATGAGGGTGAATATTAATTACATTTGTGTCATTAATAATGAACGTAACTTTATAAAACTGAACGTAACTTTTTCATAAACTATCAAAAATATTCCATTACAAAAGAAGAAAAACACAATTAAAATGAAAAAAATTAACTCAGTCGCACGAATTTAACAGGCTCTTCAAATATGCTTAATTTTTTGTTATTGGTTTTCAAAGATTCGTTTTCGCAAATCGTGGATTCTGAATACATTGCTACAGATTTCGTTAACGCTCTGTTTTTCGTTTGCTGCAACAGATTTCGCTTACGTTTCGGAGCTTTTCGTCTGATGTTTTGAGACAAATCTCTCGTGGGGGTGGGCTTAACCATAGATATGTATATAAAGCATGATATAAAGGCATATTATACATATATGATATAGATATATATAGATATCCTTTATATAGATATCTATGGGCTTAACAGTGATCTACTCTGATTAGTGAGCTCCATTTGTCCATAAGTCCATTTTAAGTGAAAATGAATGAAGAAAATATCTTTTTTCATAGATCCTATACCTTGATGCTGCTGAAAACAACAAGGCATCAACTGCCTTCTCACTCTTTCTGGAGGGTGTTCACAAACTTCACGGTAAGAACACTGTTAACATGTGAGTCAACATCTTAACTACATTTTACAAGTTCCCATGTAATTCAATAGAATAAAGATTAAGTGTATTTGGCGTGCTGTTCCGGGGGAGGGCTCCTAGCTCGAAATATTGACCTGAACCCAGAGTACTCCCCCAGTGTGGTGAAAATAGGTAGAACTATGAGTGAGGAGATGGGTGGTGGAGGGGTGCTGATAAACCAGGTTTCCCCAAACTCAGTCCTGGAGGGCCACTGTCCCTGCAGAGTTTAGCTCCAACTAGGGCTGGGCGACATGGCCAAATTAAGGCCATGAATAATTTTTAATAATAATTATCACTATAAATGTCAAATCTTAATTTCTTTCAAGTTTAAAGGCAGTTTTTTGCTCCTAAGTAAAAGTTGTATAAACTAGAGTGTTAATTGTGGTTTTAAACTACTCTTTATTCTCAGAACATATCATGATAAACATGAGAACATTTTCACAAATATGAGGTAGAACATTCAAACATTTTCATTTTTCCTTAAAATAAATATCTGAACAGAAAATATTTCTTCAGCACAGTTTGCAGTGCAGGCTGCAATATTCAAATGACATGTTTTGTCTCGAAATGCATATTTGACAGTGAGTTGAGAGTAAATCTGCATCCTAACTCAAGCTAATAAGTTAAATTTATGTTCATTAACAAAAACAGTAACATATGTTGTTGTTTTTTTATGTAATGACCACAGTAAAATGTAATATTCTGACTGTTTGAGTTTATTAAAATTAACCATTGGTCATCCAGTCTCATGCATTTAGATCATAACCACAGATAAAACCAGGCATAGCCTATAATTAGCACCTCACTATGCAAAATGCAACTTTATGGTTTCTGTGGTGTTTGTATGAAAAACAGTAGCCTAACAGTTTTTAAACATTATTATACATTATACATTATTAAATACTGTACTTATATTCCTTTACCTTTACCTTTAAAATTACATTTACCAAAGGTTTTTGAATTGTTCACAAATGTGAGTTTTGGTATTTTTACATCTTGTAGTGATAGTCTTTCTAAAAATTGACCTATGTTCATAATTTTTGAAAGCTAATGACTTTAAAATCCAGTTGCAAATATTTGTTGCTTTAAAAAATGTTTGATATTATTCCCTAAATCTTTTCTAGAGTACGTGGTGACCAGGGAGTGGAAAACGTGGATATTGCACGTTGCATGTTCTCCGTGCGAGGAACTGGTCGATGTAGCTTCATTGCTGCCGGAAAAAGCGTTCACAATCAAAGGTGCAAATTCTGTTTTTTGTTGCTGTTGTTATTTCTAGTGGGCCCCCCCCAAAAAATCACCTGCCTGACTTGATGACATCGTTAATTAAGCATGTTAATGTGTGGCATTACAATACACCTCAGTCTGATCGCTGTTCTGTATGCATACTGATCATAGGTCTGTTGTTGTTGTTTTTTTTTTAAAGAATTGAGCGCCTGTGGCGTGATGTGTGGTCAGCCGTCACATCAAAATACTACGAAACCCTACATGCAATGGTAGAAGATGGAGTGCTTGATCTATCAAATCAACTACACCTCCTCTGTGTGCACTACACAATTCTTCCACGCTTGAAACTGGACCTGAAGTGCTTCATTGGGAGCTGGAACAACCACCCAATCAGCTTTGGCACATTGGGATGCTGCAGACTCCAGTAGCTGATCCAGATGTAGAGGTATTCTTTAATCATCTTTTTATAGAGTTGGTTCACCCAAAAATGAAAATGTCATTAATGACTCTCCCTCATGTCGTCCCAAGCCCGTCAGACCTCCGTTCATCTCCAGAACACAGTTTAAGATATTTTAGATTTAGTCCGAGAGCTTTCTGTCCCTCCTTTGGAAGTGTATGTACAGTATACTGTCCTTGTCCAGAAAGGAAATAAAGACATCATCAAAGTAGTCCATGTGACATCAGTGGGTTAGTTAAATACATTTTGGTCCAAAAATAATAAAAACTACGACTTTATTCAGCATTGTATTGTCTTCCGATTCTGTCCGCAGTGACGCAAGTCGTAGTTTTTGTTATTTTTGGACCAAAATATATTTTCGACGCTTCAAAACATTGTAACTAACCCACTGATGTCACATGGACTACTTTGATGATGTCTTTATTTCCTTTCTGGACAAGGACAGTATACCGTACATACACTTCTAATGGTGAACTAACCCTTTAATGTTATCTGTGTATAATCTATATAATTAATTTCCCTAGCCTTATTTAATTAAACCTGTGTGAATTACTTTGTTACAATAATAACTCTTCAGGAGCGTAGTAGCCGACCCCTTTGTAAATGTGCCTTACTTGACAACTTGCGATTTTTATAATTTAAAATGCATTTTAATAATAGATGTGAATATGAGCAAAGTTACATGAGTTTATAACAACATGGATACAAGTCATTGACAATATTTCAAAACTGTTGGCATTTTGACCTACTTAATGTTGCTTTGATTTTGCAGATAATCGAGCAACTGTGTCAACAGCAAACGTCTGATACTGACCCAGAAGATGGTGTGGTGGTTCCAGAGATCCAATGCCCTTTATCTGAACAGAGCTTTGCTGTTCTGCAGGGATTAATTGATCCCCTGACATCATCACTGAACTACAGAGAGCTCTATGTCCAGTCACTTGATATTATTCAAAGACTGAGCTTTATTAACATTTGACTTTTGAAACATAAAAAAAAGAAACTTGGACAAAAAAAAACCAAAACAAACATATGTTGTTACATCAGAAATGTAATTCAAAAGAACATCAAATGTAAGTGCGTTTTGGCTAAACTAACTTCATAACACTGTTATGCAAATCTAAAACTTTGTAAGCCACTCTTTAAATAATAAAAGAGAAAGTAGTGTGTGTTTTTTTTAATAGAGGTGAAATTAAAACGACATAACTGCATTAACATCTATTGTAAACCCTGTAAAAGTAAGCTCCCTGCTGCACTGCAATTTGTTTTCTTAAAATTCATTTAAACTTGTTACATGTGCAGTGGGGAATGTGACTGTGGGTGGATGCACTGACAACAGGGTAGCAGATTCTGTGGTTTCGCATACGTTCCAAGCATGTATGGTCAAATAGAAATGTGATTTTAAAAGCTTGTTTCTCTGAAAGGAGCAGATGTCTATGTGCTTGACCAGACAGCCAGCTTAAAAACAGCCAGCTCAAAACTACGTCTAGAAACCTACAGCTATAAAACTGCATCTATAAAAACTATAAAACTACAACTATAATAAAAAACTACGTCTATAAAAATACATCTAGAAACCTACATCTATGGAGTGGAAACATCTATGGAAAATGGAGTCTCTAGACCCTTCCTGAGCTGAGATATTGAGATCCCACGTAGCACTTATCCCATTATAAAAATAGTGGGTTCGCGGATGTGGAATTTCGGGACGGCCCTACATGGGATCTCAATATCTCTGCTTTTTTGCACTCAAGTCTAAGTCTCATGGCCCTCTATCAGAATCCAGAGTTTTGAGAAGATTGGAGAAACTCAAAATTTCGCCCCCCGAAAAAAAACGACAGTGTTACCCCTTACGTTTTTTTTTTTTGGGCAAAAAAAAAAAGTTTCCCAATCTTCTCAAAACTCTGGATTATGATAGAGGGCTGTGAGACTTTGACCTGAGTGCAAAAATGGAGGCTCTAGACCCTTCCAGAGCTGAGATATCGAAATTCAAAATTTCGACCCGAAAAAAAAAACGACAGTGTTACCCCTTACGTTTTTTTTTTCATTTTCGGGCGAAAAATTAAGTTTCTCCAATCTTCTCAAAACTCTGGATTATGATAGAGGGCTGTGAGACTTTGACCTGAGTGCAAAAATGGAGGCTCTAGACCCTTCCAGAGCTGAGATATCAAAATTCAAAATTTCGACCCGAAAAAAAAAACGACAGTGTTACCCCTTACGTTTTTTTTCATTTTTGGGCAAAAAATTAAGTTTCTCCAATCTTCTCAAAACTCTGGATTATGATAGAGGGCTGTGAGACTTTGACCTGAGTGCAAAAATGGAGGCTCTAGACCCTTCCAGAGCTGAGATATCAAAATTCAAAATTTCGAACCGAAAAAAAAACGACAGTGTTACCCCTTACGTTTTTTTTCATTTTCAGGGCGAAAAATTAAGTTTCTCCAATCTTCTCAAAACTCTGGATTATGATAGAGGGCTGTGAGACTTTGACCTGAGTGCAAAAATGGAGGCTCTAGACCCTTCCAGAGCTGAGATATCAAAATTCAAATTTCCACCCGAAAAAAAAAACGACAGTGTTACCCCTTACGTTTTTTTTCATTTTTGGGCAAAAAATTAAGTTTCTCCAATCTTCTCAAAACTCTGGATTATGATAGAGGGCTGTGAGACTTTGACCTGAGTGCAAAAAATGGAGGCTCTAGACCCTTCCAGAGCTGAGATATCAAAATTCAAAATTTCGACCCGAAAAAAAAACTACAGTGTTACCCCTTACGTTTTTTTTCATTTTTTGGGCAAAAAATTAAGTTTCTCCAATCTTCTCAAAACTCTGGATTATGATAGAGGGCTGTGAGACTTTGACCTGAGTGCAAAAATGGAGGCTCTAGACCCTTCCAGAGCTGAGATATCAAAACTCAAAATTTCGGCCCGAAAAAAAACGACAGTGTTACCCCTTACGTTTTTTTTCATTTTTCGGGGAAAAATTAAGTTTCTCCAATCTTCTCAAAACTCTGGATTATGATAGAGGGCTGTGAGACTTTGACCTGAGTGCAAAAATGGAGGCTCTAGACCCTTCCAGAGCTGAGATATCAAAATTCAAAATTTCGACCCGAAAAAAAAACGACAGTGTTACCCCTTACGTTTTTTTTTCATTTTCAGGGCGAAAAATTAAGTTTCTCCAATCTTCTCAAAACTCTGGATTATGATAGAGGGCTGTGAGACTTTGACCTGAGTGCAAAAATGGAGGCTCTAGACCCTTCCAGAGCTGAGATATCGAAATTCAAAATTTCGACCCGAAAAAAAAACGACAGTGTTACCCCTTACGTTTTTTTCATTTTGGGGCAAAAAATTAAGTTTCTCCAATCTTCTCAAACCTCTGGATTATGATAGAGGGCTGTGAGACTTTGACCTGAGTGCAAAAATGGAGGCTCTAGACCCTTCCAGAGCTGAGATATCAAATTCAAAATTTCGACCCGAAAAAAAAACGACAGTGTTACCCCTTACGTTTTTTTTTCATTTTCGGCGAAAAATTAAGTTTCTCCAATCTTCTCAAAACTCTGGATTATGATAGAGGGCTGTGAGACTTTGACCTGAGTGCAAAAATGGAGGCTCTAGACCCTTCCAGAGCTGAGATATCAAAATTCAAATTTCGACCCGAAAAAAAAAACGACAGTGTTACCCCTTACGTTTTTTTTCATTTTTGGGCAAAAAATTAAGTTTCTCCAATCTTCTCAAAACTCTGGATTATGATAGAGGGCTGTGAGACTTTGACCTGAGTGCAAAAATGGAGGCTCTAGACCCTTCCAGAGCTGAGATATCAAAATTCAAAATTTCGACCCGAAAAAAACGACAGTGTTACCCCTTTACGTTTTTTTTTTTTTCAGGCGAAAAATTAAGTTTCTCCAATCTTCTCAAAACTCTGGATTATGATAGAGGGCTGTGAGACTTTGACCTGAGTGCAAAATGGAGGCTCTAGACCCTTCCAGAGCTGAGATATCAAAATTCAAAATTTCGACCCGAAAAAAAAACGACAGTGTTACCCCTTACGTTTTTTTCATTTTCGGGCGAAAAATTAAGTTTCTCCAATCTTCTAAACTCTGGATTATGATAGAGGGCTGTGAGACTTTGACCTGAGTGCAAAAATGGAGGGCTAGACCCTTCCAGAGCTGAGATATCAAAATTCAAAATTTCGACCCGAAAAAAAAAACGACAGTGTTACCCTTACGTTTTTTTTCATTTTTGGGCAAAAAATTAAGTTTCTCCAATCTTCTCAAAACTCTGGATTATGATAGAGGGCTGTGAGACTTTGACCTGAGTGCAAAAATGGAGGCTCTAGACCTTCCAGAGCTGAGATATCAAAATTCAAAATTTCGACCCCCCAAAAAAACGACAGTGTTACCCTTACGTTTTTTTTTTTCATTTTTGGGCGAAAAATTAAGTTTCTCCAATCTTCTCAAAACTCTGGATTATGATAGAGGGCTGTGAGACTTTGACCTGAGTGCAAAAATGGAGGCTCTAGACCCTTCCAGAGCTGAGATATCAAAATTCAAAATTTCGACCCGAAAAAAAAAAACGACAGTGTTACCCCTTTACGTTTTTTTCATTTTTGGGCAAAAAATTAAGTTTCTCCAATCTTCTCAAAACTGGATTATGATAGAGGGCTGTGAGACTTTGACCTGAGTGCAAAAATGGAGGCTCTAGACCCTTCCAGAGCTGAGATATCGAAATTCAAAATTTCGACCCGAAAAAAAAAACGACAGTGTTACCCCTTACGTTTTTTTTTCATTTTTGGGCAAAAATTAAGTTTCTCCAATCTTCTCAAAACTCTGGATTATGATAGAGGGCTGTGAGACTTTGACCTGAGTGCAAAAATGGAGGCTCTAGACCCTTCCAGAGCTGAGATATCAAAATTCAAAATTTCGACCCGAAAAAAAAAAACGACAGTGTTACCCCTTACTTTTTTTTTTCATTTTTGGGCGAAAAATTAAGTTTCTCCAATCTTCTCAAAACTCTGGATTATGATAGAGGGCTGTGAGACTTTGACCTGAGTGCAAAAATGGAGGCTCTAGACCCTTCCAGAGCTGAGATATCAAAATTCAAAATTTCGACCCAAAAAAAAACGACAGTGTTACCCCTTACGTTTTTTTTTCATTTTTGGGCGAAAAATTAAGTTTCTCCAATCTTCTCAAAACTCTGGATTATGATAGAGGGCTGTGAGACTTTGACCTGAGTGCAAAAATGGAGGCTCTAGACCCTTCCAGAGCTGAGATATCAAAATTTCGACCCGAAAAAAAAAACGACAGTGTTACCCCTTACGTTTTTTTTCATTTTTGGGCAAAAAATTAAGTTTCTCCAATCTTCTCAAAACTCTGGATTATGATAGAGGGCTGTGAGACTTTGACCTGAGTGCAAAAATGGAGGCTCTAGACCCTTCCAGAGCTGAGATATCAAAATTCAAAATTTCGACCCGAAAAAAAAACGACAGTGTTACCCCTTACGTTTTCATTTTTGGGCAAAAAATTAAGTTTCTCCAATCTTCTCAAAACTCTGGATTATGATAGAGGGCTGTGAGACTTTGACCTGAGTGCAAAAATGGAGGCTCTAGACCCTTCCAGAGCTGAGATATCAAAATTCAAAATTTCGACCCGAAAAAAAACGACAGTGTTACCCCTTTACGTTTTTTTTCATTTTGGGCAAAAATTAAGTTTCTCCAATCTTCTCAAAACTCTGGATTATGATAGAGGGCTGTGAGACTTTGACCTGAGTGCAAAAATGGAGGCTCTAGACCCTTCCAGAGCTGAGATATCAAAATTCAAAATTTCGACCCGAAAAAAAAACGACAGTGTTACCCCTTACGTTTTTTTTCATTTTCGGGCGAAAAATTAAGTTTCTCCAATCTTCTCAAAACTCTGGATTATGATAGAGGGCTGTGAGACTTTGACCTGAGTGCAAAAATGGAGGCTCTAGACCCTTCCAGAGCTGAGATATCAAAATTCAAAATTTCGACCCGAAAAAAAAACGACAGTGTTACCCCTTACGTTTTTTTCATTTTTGGGCGAAAAATTAAGTTTCTCCAATCTTCTCAAAACTCTGGATTATGATAGAGGGCTGTGAGACTTTGACCTGAGTGCAAAAATGGAGGCTCTAGACCCTTCCAGAGCTGAGATATCGAAATTCAAAATTTCGACCCGAAAAAAAAAACGACAGTGTTACCCCTTACGTTTTTTTTCATTTTCGGGCGAAAAATTAAGTTTCTCCAATCTTCTCAAAACTCTGGATTATGATAGAGGGCTGTGAGACTTTGACCTGAGTGCAAAAATGGAGGCTCTAGACCCTTCCAGAGCTGAGATATCAAATTCAAAATTTCGACCCGAAAAAAAAACGACAGTGTTACCCCTTACGTTTTTTTCATTTTTGGGCAAAAAATTAAGTTTCTCCAATCTTCTCAAAACTCTGGATTATGATAGAGGGCTGTGAGACTTTGACCTGAGTGCAAAAATGGAGGCTCTAGACC